CAGGAGTGTTACTTTGAGGACTGAGGTGCTCCTGGCCCAAGCCATGGCATTTTCCATCACCTCATATGCATGTGAAAGTTGGACAATGAATAAAGAAGACCAAAGAAGAGTTAATGCATTCTAATTGTGGTTCTGGAGAAGAATATCGAAGTACATGGAGTACTAAAAGGACACAGATGGTCAGAAGAAGTATGGGTAGAGTGCCCCTTAGAGGCACGAAGGACAAGACGTTGTCTTACATGCTTGCTTTGGACATGGTATCAGGAGAGACTGGCCCCTGGAGAAGGACATTATGTTTGGTAAAGCAGAGGGGCAGCAAAAAAGGAGGAAGGTCCTCAAGGAAATGAGTTGACACGGTGGCTGCAGCACTGGGCTCAGGCGTAGGGACAAGTGTGAGGATGGCACAAGGTTGGGCAGTGTTTCCTTCTGTTGTGCGTAAGGTCACTAAGGGTTGGAAATAACTCGATAGCACCCAACAACAACAACAACAACATCTCTCTCAAGTTGTAGTTCTCGTCAGTCTCTGAGCTCCAGATCACTACCCTGGACTTTTAGATAGCTCCTACTCCTAGCGCTGGTGGTGCTGTGTGATCAGCATTGGGCTGCGAACCACAAAGTCATTGGTTCAAAACACCAGCTGTTCCACTGGAGGAAGGTGAGTTGTATGCTCCTGTCTTAAAATACAGTCTCTGAAACCCTCTACCAGGTGGCTGGATCATAACGGATTCAATAGCAGAGTGTTTGGTTTAAGGAGCCCTGGTGGTGTAGTGAGTTCAACATTGGGCTGCACCCACCAGCCACTCCATGGGAGAAAGGGAGGCTTTTTGCTTCCTTTAAGGATTATGGCCTTGGAAACCCAAACAGGCAATTCTACTCTATCCCATAGGGCTGCCATAATCCATAACCGACTCGATGGCAGTGGGTGGGAGTCTTAGGTTAGAATCTCTGGTAGTGCAGCAATTAAGCACTTCACTAATAACCGATAGGCCAGAAGTATGCCCCGTCTCATACAAAAGACACAACAATAGGCTTCTGTAAAGACTTCCGCCTAGGAAACACTATGGGGCAGTTCTATTGCATCCTACAGAGTTGCTGTGAGGCATAATTGACTTGTTCACACACACAACAACAACATTCCTAGGCCAATGGCTCTGCTTAGTCATGACTGAAAATTCCAGGGGTTCCTTTCTTTCTACAATACCAAGTCGCTCTCCCATGACGAACAGATTAAGACGAAATGAGTGCTTCTCGTTGTTTCCTGCTTCTGACAGATCTTGAAGCAGTCATCAAAGTGAGTTAAATACCCATCAGCTCACTGTCATCCAGACAATTTTGACTCAGTAATTCTATAGGGCAGCATAGAACTGCTCTGGAGGGTTTCCCAGGCTGTAAACCTTTACGGTAGCAGATAACTTCATCCCCCAGGCCCTCAGAGTCACTAACCTTAAATTTGAACCACCAACCTTGGGGTCATCCACCCAATATCTAACCCACAGTGCCACCACACTCCTCACTCCCATTTTAGAGATGGTGAAACGGAGACGGAGACAAACTCAAGGATGTGTTCCTGGGGACAGTGTTTTGTTTGTTCGCCTATAACTCAAATTTAGGATACAAACTGATCTGTCACCTTTATGTAGCTGCTTTGTGGGAGGAAGAGGAGCCCTTCTACTACGGTAAAGAGTTGCAATCTGAGACACCCACAGGGCAGGTCTACTCCATCCTACAGGGTTGCTAGCGTAGGAATCAAATCTTTGGCAGTGAGTCGTGAGTATCACAGATGCCAGAAAAGCATCAATCCTGTGTTGTCTCCAGCCAGGTTGTTTCTCAGGAATGCTCATTTCTATGAGGATTATACATTATTATTGTATATGTATATTATACATATAATAATATTATATATTATTGTTAATAATAATCATTTCTGTTATTAGGTTCTGACCAAATTCACTCATTCAAAAATGTTTTAAAAACACACATCTATATCTGCCAGGCATTGTATCTCCAGTACTTCTGCAATGGTACATCTTCTTTAACAGGCAAGGCTACCCTTCACAACCTCCATTTACACTATGCAATCTGTCCAGGAATAATTTCTAAGCACAAGGCACTTCTAGATGCTTCAAGAGATATAATGATAAATTAAGGTATGCCCAGTCCCTGAGAATTTACAGTCTACAGGAGAGAAGACCTACATTAGTAAACTAAGATTAGTGCCTTCCTGAGAGCCACACAGAAAAGATTCTAAAAAGAGTTTGAGATGAGTCTTGAATGTGTAGGATTTGGGTTTGTGGATGGGGGTCCAGAGGGCATAATGGGAAGAGCAGAGGATCAGAGCAAAAGGACAGAAGAGGAGGGATCGTATGGATGGTCTAGGGAATAGCGGCAGTCCATTGTGCTGAACAATAGACTGCATGGAGAGTTAGGTGAGGGATATATTGGTTGGGTCATACAATGGGAAAGCCCTGAATGCCACATAAGGCTTTGATGCCTCAACCACTTTGGAACTGGATGTCACGGTGGGTCTTTGGTAGCAGTGTGACTTGACCAGCTTATGCTTTGGTACCAATTTTGGTAATAAGGAGATAGTCATAGATGGAATGACTTGAAGAGGATGAGAGCAGAACTAGGGCAAACCCATTCTTCCCAGTCTTCAGAAGTGGTGTTTTACTTCGTTCCAAAAACTCATCTAGGGCCCAGACAACCAAAGCTTGCTGTCGGGTGTTTTCTGGGCCATCGCCCTCCTGTCCCTCCCCAATCTGGGTCTTTAATGGAGGGGAGAAGCTTTCTATTTCTACCCAGGTCTTTTGAGTCAGCAGAGGCACATATGGGTTTTCTTTTCCTGGCTGTTTCTTTGTTCCCCATGCAGATCAAGAGAAGAGATCAACTGAACCTTGGCAGGTTGAGTCATGTCTGACACTAATCCTCCAGGAAGATCATTCACCTCAGAGCCTCCGTAAAATTTTTTTTGTTTTTAATCATTTATTAGGGGCTCAAACAACTCTTATCACAATCCATACATACATCAATTGTGTAAAGCACATTTGTAC